TTAACAAACAATTTAACAAAACTCTTAATCCAAGAAATTCATTGGCTGTCGTCGTCATACAACACGAATGGTCGTCGTCGTTTTGGTGGTGGAGATGCAATGGCGGTCGTCGACGTAGTGGAGGCCATCTGAACATTTACGTTTATGTTGAAAGTGAATTCTGTTCCTGCCACTTGTACAGTGCCACCAGGTAGAATATTTTGGTTGTCGGCATTAGAGGTATTTGTATTTTCTTGCACGAATTTGGTAGATACTGGCTTGGATGTTAGAATGTCGGACATGTGTTCCCGCTGGCTCTCGCTTGCTACGGCATAATGGTTGATTGTTTACATTCATGCATGAATGACATTTCTTGTATATTATAATTCTTAATTTTTGAAAAACAAAAAACGCTATTTCTTGCAAATAAAATGGCAATTAAAAATAGTCATTGCACAATTCATGATTCGCAGATTCGTTGATTCTTGATTCTTCAATTAGCCTTACCCCGCGGAAACCAAATTCTGTATTGCCGTTTTCCTCCCCGAATGATTCGTTTTTTTCCTGGAATACCAGCCGTTTCGGTCATTTTCTTTATGATTGTGCCGAGGGTATTTATGCCCACTTTAGTTTGTGTGGTGTCGGGCCCAATAAACACGCAGACAACAGGTTCGGAATACAAGCAAGTTTACTTGTGTGTAATAACTAACAGAACTCACAAAGATGGCAGCCCTGTCCCAGAATCCCATCTGTTGCTAAGCAACCCAACTGATGGCGGGAATATGACCATGCAAAGTACGGTATATGTTTATACTATTAATGCTCTGACACAACATAATTCCCCCTCACGGAAAGGATGCATAATCCTAAGTATAAACATACAATGAATGAAAAAACGATATTAAAGTTCGATAAGAGTTCAAAATCTCAAACGTGCAACGGTTTAAATCCTTTTAACTGCATTAACAAACTAATGTTCTATAGATACCGTTCTTATGCTTATGAAATTACATAGTCTCTCAAATATGCTGGCATACGTGTTATTCGTACTGGACGACTTTCGCGTGTAGGTAAGCTATTAGCATTTGTAACTACTGGATGATGTTCTTGGTTTATCATTAAGTGTTCGTTAGGGAGTTCAGGTGGGAGTACAGATGAATCATGTCTACGCGAACGTACACATCTTCTGGCACTCCATGCTGTACCGTCGTCAAGTCTAAACGAAGACTTACCAAGCTTCTTAACAATGCGATGCGGCTCAGAAAATGTAGGGGAGAGCTTATGGCTGCGATTTGGACGTTTAACTCTCACCCAGTCTCCTACATTCAGATTGGTGGATCTAGCGTGCTGTCGTAGATCTGTGTATGACTTGATTCTGGCTTGACGTTGTTCTATTTCTGACTTCATAGCTGGAATGTCTGTTTGTGCATTACCGACGCTGGTAGTAGTGGTTTTAGTTTATCAAGTGGTAGACGCATTTGACGATTGAGCATAAGTTGTGAAGTGACTTTTGAGTAGAGCATGTGGTGTAGCTCTATAGTTCTGTAGTATTTGTACGACTGAATCTGCGAATGTCTTTCCCTCCGACAAATTCGTTTCAAACCTCTTCAGGCATTTATTGAATCGTTCCACCCCACCGTTGCTTTGGGGGTTATATAATGATGTTAGATTATGTTTGATACCATGTGATTGTAGATAATTTTCAAACTCCCTCTGAGGTAAACTGAGGTCCGTTGTCAGTAGTGATGACTTCTGGAAATCCCCATCGAGTGAAAAGTTCTTTAAGAATCTTAATAACTGCTGTAGATGTGACCGTTCCTGTTGTTGCCACTTCAGGCCATTTGGAATGTAGGTCGTGTACTACAACTAAGAAACGTTGACTATGTGGTGCTATGGCTATCTCACCAAATATGTCCATTTGTATAGAGTTCCATGGTTCTGTCGGCCATGGCGTTGGTTGAAGTGGTGGTTGTTTTGGTCTAGCTGACTTGCCACTGATAGCGCAAGGCTCACAATTGCGGACGTAATCTTCGATCTGAGAGTCCATACCTGGCCACCATACTGTTTCACGACATCGCTGTTTCATACGAACTATACCTGGATGTCCGTCATGGGCCATTCGTAGGACTCGTTCCTGCAGGGCTTCAGGAATAACTGCACGTGAACTACGGGCAATAGAGTATTCATTCCATACTGTAAGCTCATCGCGGAGGTTGGCGAATACTTTGAGATTTGGTGGCACACTTTTTGGCCAACCATTTTGAACATATGTGGCAACTCGTTGAAGCAGCGGATCATCACGAGACTGTGTTTGGAGTTCGCTAGCTGTGACTAACCCATCTAAGTTAATTTCGAGAATGTCATTTTCAGTTTCTGTGTTGTCCGTAGTGCGTACAAGACGACTTAGCATATCTGCGACAAAGTTCTTACTACCTTGCATGTGCTCGACATCAAAGTTGTACTGCAAAAGACGATCAGTCCATCTATAGATACGTAGTGGTTTATGACCGGAGCCTACTGTTGACAGAATTGATTTGAGCGCTTCATGGTCAGTGCGTAGTGTGTATTTCCTACCGTAGAGTACAATATGCCAATGTTCTGAGGCATACACACACGCTAAAGCTTCACGTTCGCTTGTTGAGTATTTACGCTCGGTTGGAGACAATGTCCGAGAAGTGAATGCAACTGGCTTCTCTTTCCTCATTAACTATTGCCGACAAACTGCTC